CCAGCCGCTGGAGGGATTTTGCCAGAGGCAAACCCCGCGTTTGCATCGAAAAGCATCGAGCATCATCAATACCATCTCTGTTTTTCTTGCAACTCCTGCAATGACATGGGTGGTGCTAGGTAAGGCTTCCCCCCTCGAAGCCCCAAAGATACGCAGATGCCCGTCGTCCCGAAGCTTCGATTTGCAAAGATCTCGAGGCGGCCTCCACCATCGAGTGCTCCGAGAAGGCGGCCGGGGAGCTGCAGCTGGGCATCACCGAGGCCAGGCAGGGAGGCGGCAGGCTGCTGGGTGTCCTGAAAGGGAGGGGCGCCTTTTGCAGGGGAGGCGGCCAAAAAGGGGGGAAGATTCTGAAAGGGAGGGTTACCTTGGGAAATTGGGGGTTCAAAGAGGGGTGCTTTTTTTGGTAAGGTTTGACCCAATCTCAACGTTCATCCGTCCTTCAAAAGAAGAGTTTGGATATTCAACATTGCCAACTTTCCCCTGAAACCAAGCAGGTATTGAACCGGACACTGGTTAGGCTTGGCCATTTCCTCGCTGCCTGAGAAGCGATAATTGCCCAAGTGTGACTAAGTAATCATGTTGGTATCATGCAAAACATTTGCCCCATAACCATGAAACGAGGACCATCGTTGCGCAAGTGGCATTGCAGTTCCTCTGAAGTCAAGGTTGTTTCAGAAGACATGAAGGAGGAAACTGGTTGATGTTAGTCTTCGTGGTCATTGCAGTTCGAAGATACAAGCCAAGTACAGTATCTCAGAACAATCCTGTTTCCCGCAAGAAGGAGGGGAACATAAGCTTGATGTTTGTGTTCAAGCCAGCCTAACAGTTTGGGGAATTAATGCCTCCCTTTGGGATGCTGTTTACCTGGATAGAGTTTCGAATTTAGGGAAGCACGATCCTTTTGATTCCTCTGAAACCCACCCACCCCAATACCGGGAGTGCTCCTGACTCCGGGGCAACCCTGAGAAGTAGACCCTGGCCCTGAGGCGCAAGTTTGCGATGAGAGCTGGGCTTGAGGTCTTTGGCCAACCAACTCAACAGCTCGAGATTGTACTGCCTGCTTGATATGCTTTGATCCACTCAATCTTACGAGCCTTTTCTAGTTGCCGGCCCTTTTTTGGGTACACGTACCTCGATTTGGTGTCCACCTCCTCGGGCCGTGCTTTTCAACTGGTTCTTCGGCGCCGGGCGCGGCTGAAGGCGCGGAATTTCCTGGCAGCGAAGAGCGTGGAGCTTCGGGCCTTCTCCGACAAGGAGCGATTACGTGAGGTGCAAGCTGTGTAGGCAAAATGGGTCGTAGCAAAGAGCAGCTAGCAAAATGGTTCTGTAAACCCTTTTGTTGGGACGCATGGAAGTCAACTTTTTCTAGGGCCCCTGAGTTTGTGAAACCCCAAGTAGGGGGGAACCGAAGCTGAAATTGGGATGTCCCCTTCTTTAAGGCAACCCTCCCATTGAGGCCCATTGAAGTTGGCATTGCTTGTCCATCATGTGCGTTTCGTTTTGCAGGCAAAGCCACAGACTTAGATAGGGTTCCCTTTACTTTCCCTTTTGTTGGTGTTTAGGATCATATTTTGGGAAAGGCTGTTTTAAGTTGTCGCAGGGATGTTCAATGAGAAATATAGATGCGCGTGGTTTTGCAACTCAGAAAATAGCAGTTTCCAAAGAAAAGGGGGGGAAGGCTTACAAATTGTGGTTTTGGTGTTGCTTTGCTCAAGACATATCCGACCATCGCTTCAAGTGATACCATGTACATAGCACTTGACGGAAGAGAGAAAAAAGGGATTGCAGTCATTTTTTGGGTCCCCGATCTGAAGGCACAACTACTGGTCAGGGAATCTCCTTCAAAGGTAGGGCCCCTGTCTTGGCACGGATGGTTTTCACAGGTGAGCAACGTAAAATCAATCTCAGACCCATCTTGTGTTGCGAATGGTTCAGGTTGGCGGGTTGGAGGGCTTGCCTTCCAGGTTGGTTTCAGACGGGACTGGAGATTCTGACAAACTTTTCTTTTTTGTGGTTTATCAGGGCACCCTGTTTGGTTGCCTTTTTTTTTCCGTGGACTTGTGTGATAAGGGCGTTTTGTACAAGACGAGTAACCCCCTTTCGCAACTGGGTCGGAACCCCAGGAGAAGAGCAAGCCGCTTCTGGAGGAGGGTCCGGGGGCTGGGCGGATGGGAGGATCTGAGGAGGGGACTGGCAAGTGCTCCCTCTCTTCAAACAAGAGGGGAAACAACACAGGTGAACAGCGGGAGCCTGGTGGACCTGGTCCCTCCAACATGAACAACTTTCAAACCAGGGGCTAGAGCCTTTGAGCTTCCCGTGGTTTGTTGCGTTTGTGTCTGCTTCCGATGCCGTGGAAACAACCCACCCACACCGACCCTGGTGGGCATCTCAGGCGACTGTCGGTTTGAGGCGAAGTAGCTTGTAGTGCTGTGAGTGATGGGGAAAAAATATGAGCATCAGGGTATCCGGTCTCGCGACAAAATATGAGCATCAGGGTATCCGGTCTCAGCTTTGTGCAACACGAAGCGTGCTACCCTCAGCTGATTTGATGGTCCATGCATCATATTCCAGACACAAAGCAATACACACCTGCATCCTGAGCGCTGCGTTAGCATTGGTGATGGCTTGTGCAGTTGCAGTGGCAAGCGTCTCTCTTTCTCTCTGTCTCTCCATCTCTCTCTCTCTCTCTCTCTCTCTCTCTCTTTTTCAGCGGGTCCACATGGCACTTGGCCAATACTTGACCACACTGGGTCACGGATCATGTTCAGAGCGATCTTTGCAAGACGAATTGCTTCTTGCTATCTTTTTCTGACTTGAAATCATTGCAAGTGCTGGACGCACAGACCAGGTCTAGTGCTAAGCCCCCCAAGCGGCTAATTTAGAGTTGTGCCTTTACATACTTGCTGAGTGGGTGATCTTGAAGGACTTGGGGGCCAAAGCGTTCCTCTCTGTCGCCGAGGGCCAATGCCAACTTGCCTCACTTGCCTTCCTCCAAAAAACCCGCCCCCGCCCCTCCCTCTGAAGTAAGCTGCCATGCCTCGCTAGGAGCTCACGTCTCTCACCTCCCGTATCAACTCTGCGGCGCAGAAACATGCATCGCCTGGCGGCCAGCTGGAGTCAGGTGGTCAGGGTGGGTGTGGCTACTATTTTGAGAGAGCCCAAAGGAAATTCACGTCCTATTCTGGGCATGTTCTACCTCGTTGAATATCCCCATTTTCCCTGTGATCAGTTTGGACGCCCCGTTCTTGATTTGGTTTTCAAATTCATGCAGAACTCCCGGTTTTCCAAGGTATCCTGAAAGTAAGGGATCGCCACAACTAAGATTCTTGCGGACTGGGGGGTACTGTTGGGAAGAAGCTTGCGGCACCGCTGCAACCGTTGGGTCGGCACCAGTACATCCAACACGAAGAGCAGTTGAGCAGTGCTCAGAATGCTCGTTGAGTACCAAGGGGTTCTACGTCTGCAAATCTTTTGCAAGAGGAACTCGCAAGGACGCCCCAAGAAGATAGTGAATTGTGGAGGAATATTTTGTTTGCTTACTTTTTTCAGTCTTTGTACAAGTGTTCCAAGGTGCAAATGTCGGTGGAACCAGTTAGCTAAAGCTAGGTCGCGGCACTTCATTGTCCTTACCAAAAGTCAGGCTGCCACTTGACATGGCTCCACATCGCATGGGGTTGCCTCGAAATCGGGAACCACTTTTGGATGATTTTGACAGGAAAACAAAGGACACCAAGCACTTGAAGGTGTTTTGCGCAAAGATGGGCAGTGCTCAATTGAGATGGCCCACTGTCCGAGGTTCAAAAAGGACACAGATGCCCGGAAGTGCGGGCGCCCAGAAGGTTTTCAGACAAAGCGAGCCGTTTGCGGGCGGTCAAGGGTTGCCTTTCGCAGCTTTTTGCAGGCGTTCGCCAAAGTAGCGCGTGTTACAAAGCCTGGCACATGAGTGTTGGAACCCCCGCGTAAGTGGGTGGAGTCGCTGACGTCTATCATGATCCATGTGCTTGCATTTGGCGGCAGCAGCTGTTTTGCCAAATTCAACGTGTGAACAAGGCATTGTGGTCCAGGTAGGCCACTGCCAACCTCTGGAGTACAACACATGCCAATGGCAAGGCTGCCTCGGTAACGCAATCAGTTGTCTTGCTGATGCACATAGTATTCCAGCAACGCGCTGGAGTGGCTGGGGAATGTCACAACTGCTTTGCCTCAAAGGACACATTCACTCGTTTTTGCCGGGATCCACGTGTCTCGCGTTGCTTTCGTGTGGGATGCTCGTCCCATAGCGCGGGTTGCCCGACGGCCCGCGTGGGAGATCCCAGGCCTGTGGCCTGTGCGGCGCTTCTCTTCGCTTTTCTCGTGTTGTGTAGGCTGTGAAAGAGCAGTGCGAGCTCGGGCAGCTTTCCCAGCGACGTATTGGTACTGCCTATAGGGTTTGCTTGGAACAGGGCGGTGGGCAGCTTTCGTGGCCAAAGGGGAAGCCAGACTTGAGCGTCATGGTTTCGGCAGTTCAGGGACCCTTCCATCTCTGTCCATCTCTGTCATCCCCCGGTCATCAAACAAAATCGGGGACCGTTTGGACATCTATTCAAAAATATAGGGATCTATGTCCATCGACCATTGTTGTGCCCCCCCCCGACAGCAACAGCTAATCAGGCGGTCCCTTTATGGTTGGAGTCTCCATAGAAATTGTCCGCTCGGTTATTCATTTGGGAGATGCCACTAAAATCAAGTCACAGTCACTTGGGCACTGCGTCTTAAATACTTCGCACTCCCAAAACGGGCATCAAAGCCACTTCCACCGGACCGCCCAGGAAGAACGCGTCGCTGCAGGAGGCCCAAGAGCGCCTCGCCAAGCTGCAGCAGGAGGCATCGCTTCGGACGAGCGGATGCGGTTTGGGGTGGGCGGGCTCCCGAGATATCCAACCAGATCCAACCTTGGGGTTGGCTGAAAGAAACAACCACCTTCTGGTTGCCAGGTGTTTTTTTGGGAGCTTCTTTTGAGTTTGGGGTGATGCTTATATTGAGAGGAGATACAGGCACAAGGAACTCGAAACACTGTTTGGCAGGGTTTGGCATTTGCTCAGTTGGCCTGTGTTTGTCCCACCCTGTGTTTACTTGGGAGTTGTTTGCGGTTGTTCCCTCAATGGTTCCCCGTGCCTGTTTGTTTGTTTGTTTGCTGGTTGGTTGGTTGGTTGGTTGGTTTGTTTGTTTGCGCGGTTGTCTTGTTTTTGACGAATGAGGAGCCTCAAGGATGACAATTCTGCCTGTCATCACCAAGTGTTCCCCCATTGATGAGAAGTGGTGAGCTGCGGGCTGCTTGCAGATTTTATCTATGGTATTTTCCGGCTGGTCGAGCCATGCTTCCGGCCATAAATAAAAGAAAATACATGCCAGGCCCTCAAGGAACCCCACGCGTGAACCCAAGAAAAGCACTGGCCCTCGAGGAAGCCTTGATTCCGCAGGGCCCAGAGAGCGTGAATCCAACATATGTGGATTGAAAAACAACTCACCGGAGCCGTGCCCGAACAGGACAGACTTCAAATTGCAAATGTGATTCAGTGATGCTGAAGCAAGCTGCACACCGACTCCAAGAACTGCAAGCGGCATTATTTTCGCCCTTTGTTGCTGGTCTAAGACCTCGCATCGCAGTATGGATTATATGATTCCTAGGCAGAACAGCTGGACTCCTTTGAACACGATCATAGCATTTGTGCATACTTAAGTGTTCCGATGACAAACATTGCACTCCTCCTAGAGTTTCCTCCTGCTTGTTTCTTGGTGTTTTGTTTTTGTCGCGGAATCATGGGCTTGGTATTGGTCGGAGCTCGCTAGGTGGACAAGGTCACAGAGAGCGTCACACCACTCGACGACGAGGCGAGGGGGCTGAATCCTTTTCCCGTGGCACAATGCGGGTTGCTCTCTCTCCAAGGCCGTTCAGGTGGCTGGGATTGAAGGAGCCTTGGTTTTGACTTGCAGTGAACTCTTAAAAGACATGGAGCAACACCACACGGTTAGGGTTCCTCTTCACCAGACTCCCGCGGTGCAAAGTCGAAGACTCGGCTCGCTATTCGATTTTGTGACGCTAGATGAGATGTGAGACAGGTAGGATGAGAGCAAAAAGAAAGCTTCGAGCTACGCCAGTGACAATTTTGGACATAGCTCCCATTACTGTAGCCCATGGTGAGTCAATGGAGGGATGCCCAGAATCTTTAATCTGGAGTGCAGAAAATGAAGATGGAATCCACAGAGGCTCAGGCTGAGCTTCAAGTCACTTTTTTCGAGGGCGATGTTGTTCGCGGCCTGTGGAGTTCTACACTTACAAACACGTGCGCATCTAGGGTGTGGAGTCTCTTCAAAAACAGTCGCGGGTCCGTACTTTGGCCACCATATGGGATCTCATATGGGCGGTCCCTGAACTGTCTTCTTGGCGGACTTTTCAAAAGCAATCCAACAAGCCACCAGAATGGGAGGCGGGTCTCTGTTCGGGTCTGTTGCCAGCTAGGAGCAGGAAACCACCACCCCTATTTGACACATTACCAAGTGAGACTCGCATCCCCAAACACGAAGGCTTTGGGATAGTGCCACATCATTTGTTTGCGGGCCAGGAAGTTGCTGAGAAGCTCGGAAACGACGAGGCGGGTGGCTTTGGCTTGCGGTGGAACGGAAGAAGCCAAAAGCGCGCCACCCAGGAACGGCTCTTTTTGGGAAGGAAACTGAGAACCTCTCCAGGGAGTAGCTGGGTCCTAATGTCGCTCCTTGGGTGCACAAGAGCCTCACAATGCATAAACATCTGCGTCAAAGCAAGGGTGCCTCTCTGAAAACAGTTCCCAGTTCTGACGCATAAAGGGCATCATCGGAATTGGACAAGCCAATGTGGCCCCAACACGTGAATGGCTTCCTCTAGGGTTTCTGTTTGAAGCAAGCGACATCACCCAGATGTCAGGTAGAAAAACAAATTGTGACCCGTTTGACGCAGGGACATGTTTTATGACACTGTATTCTAGGAGCAAACGAGTCTGCCATATTTTCGACAACTAACTCATACGTTTGGACCAGCTGTAGTTGGGGCACATTCCCCAGCAGGCGGTATTTTTCCTCGTTAAGGTCAACGATGCACAGGAAGGACACTTCTAGCTGAGAAATGGTGGGAGTGCTTACGTTCCTGGATCGGCCCTTGATTTGACTGGAGCGAGTGCTCCCCAATCATGTATGAGTAGCGCGCTACCCTGCCGCCAACCACCGTGGAAGTGCATGTTTCATCCCTTGCAAACGGAAGGCAGACTTTTCAGGGGTCGAACCTGCGCTTCGTTCAGGCGAAAGCCATCTGCGAGAAGGTGAGCGAGCAGGCCAAGGCTGCGCAGGCCGCTGGGACTGAGCCGAGCCGGACACGGACAGGGCATAGCCGGGATCACGATGTAAAGGGAGCTTCCATTCGAGAGCGCCTCAGGAGAGCATGTGAGCATGAGACCCATCTGCAATCCCCTTTCAGGGTGGCTTTTAGTGGCACGACAGGAGCAACCATTTCTCTGGCCCCCCGCCATCTTGAGACCAACTCCAACATTGTGTGAGGAATGTGGGCTATGGGAATGGCTTGTGGGTACTCGGTATGAATTCCTCGTAAGCACCAGGGATGAATTTCGGAGGTATGGAGCTGACACCACTTTGATTGCAGGCATATTTTGCCTAACAGTGATGTGGGGGTGAGTTTTTGAAGGTGTCCCTTTTGGGGTTGGTTTAAAAGTAAGCCAACAGAATGCTAACAGTTTTTGGGTGCCGAAATGTTGGGACACACACACACACACCGATATAAGCCTCCATACCTCCAAAGCCCACATCATAATATCTGAAAATCGGGCTGTTTTCTTTTATGACCCGCATGGACACGACCCTGAGTTTTCCCGCGCTTGCACCGCTGCATTCGCGGTCAGGAGTCCCTGGACCAGGTGAGGCACTTCCTCACGGCGAGGCGTGCGCCAAAGGTTCAGGGAGGGGTTCCAGTAGGCTTCCGGGCAGGTTCCGTGAAAAGTTCTGGCAAGTGAATTGAAGCTCCTTGGGGCTAGTGTCTTTTGAGGATGCAGGACTTGGAGTAATTTGGGTAAGTCTCCAAAGGCTCCTTGACAGGAATGAACCATTCTTTGCATGCGATTATTTTGCTTTTGAACCAAGGGTTACATCAAGGGGTTCTACACCAATAGAGGGAGTCCCTTAGCTTCGGCCACAAGGGGAAGCGACCCAGTTGGTTATATACTCTGAACGTAGATTAAAGTAGTTCTACTCTGCAGACTTGCAACTCAAGACTGAACCAATCGTCGAGGCAAAATGGAAACACTGAGATAGGCAGATGTCTCGAATGAGATTGCATGACAATTCCACATGGGGATGTGCCAAGTCAGTTGGGATGGTTTTGACAGACATTAGAAAGACACCGCTTGCATGGGTTGCGGGATGCATCAAGCGTTTCGACCATACGGCAACATGTCGTATTTGCGACATATGACAAAGCTGCAAGCAGCCAATCAGGAGTGCTTGGGGTGCTTGGAGCCTCAAATTAGCTGGCACCTTCAGGCTAGACATGCGATGCGTACCTTTCTTCTTTGGTATCCCAGAACTTGCTTTTATCCGTTTGCCAGGATCGTAGAAGCACTGTTAATCTCCAACAAATCGGCATGCCCACCGGCAATATGTGTCAGCCGTACCCCTATCTTCCTGAATGCAACGAGTTCAAAAGTGGCTTAGGAGCGGCGTCTTTGTCTTTTGCTGGGACCCAAGCTGTCCTTTTGATCGAAAGTGGGGCAGGCGGCTCGTGGCTCCTGATTGCTCGCTGAACGCGTGCCCGGCAGGCAGAAGGAGAACCAGGGCAATGCACAAAACACCGAGACCGTGAAGGGCCTACAGGCCACCGGGCACCGATCGCATTGCCCCTCGGCGCCTTGGGAACTCGGGGCGGTTGCTGTGAGATGTGCGAACCTGTCGAAAGACCTTTACATGCCAAAAGGGTGTTTCCCCCTCCGTTGTTGGGCACAGGCCCATTTGCAAATATCAGCATATTGTGTGTGTGTCTCTGTGTGTCTCTGCGTGTCTCTCTGTGCTTTGTGTGTGTTCTTTGTGCTGTGTGTGTCTCTGTCCGTGTCTCTCTCTCTCTCTCCCTCTGTGTCTCTCGCTGTGTGTCTCTGGCTGTGCGTCTGTAAATCTCTCTCTGTGTGTCTCTCTGTGTCTGTGTGTGTGTGTGTGTTTGTGTTTGTGTTTGTGTGTTTGTGTGTTTGTGTGTTTGTGTGTATGTGTGTATGTGTGTATGTGTGTATGTGTGTAGGTGTTTATGTGTGCGTTTATGTGTGTGTTTATGTGTGTGTGTGTATGTGTATGTGGCTGTGGCCCAAAACATGTACCCAACATGGCCCCTAGGTAAATGGAAACATGGACCAAAACCTGCGTAACCCTAGCTCTTACATTTTGAGCCACATCCATGTGTATGTGTATGTGTATGTGTATGTGTATGTGTGTGTGTGTGCTTGTGTTTGTGTTTGTGTTTGTGTTTGTGGTTGTGTTTGTGTGTGTGTGTGTTTGTGTTTGTGTTTGTGTTTGTGTTTGTGTTTGTGTGTGTGTGTGTGTTTGTGTTTGTGTTGGTTTGTTTGTGTTGGTCTGTTTGTGTTGGTCTGTTTTTGTTGGTCTGTTTGTGTTGGTCTGTTTGTGCTGGTCTGTATGTGTTGGTCTGTTTGTGCTGTGCTGGTCTGTTGGTGTTGGTCTGTCTGTTGGTGTTGGTCTGTCTGTTGGTGTTGGTCTGTCTGTTGGTGTTGGTCTGGTCTGTCTGTTGGTGTTGATCTGTCTGTTGGTGGTCTGGTCTGTTGGTGGTCTGGTCTGTTGCTGTTGGTGCTGGTCTGTTGGTGCTGGTCTGTCTGTTGGTGTTGGTCTGTCTGTTGGTGTTGGTCTGTCTGTTGGTGTTGTTGGTCTGTCTGTTGGTGGTCTGGTCTGGTCTGTTGCTGTTGGTGTTGGTGTGTTGGTGTTTGTCTGTTGGTGTTGGTCTGTCTGTTGGTGTTTGGTGTGTTGGTGTTGGTCTGTCTTGGTCTGGTCTGTGCATGCGAACGCGACACACACAAACCGCGCACATGTGGGCGCTGGGGCTGTGACCACAAGTTGCAGAATGTATTTGCCGACTTATTTGTTTGGTGCGATGATGCTGGCATAGAAGACCCTGGGCGTTCCACCCTCGAGGATCCTACACGTGTGTGTGGTGTGTGGGTGTGTGTGTGTGGGTGGGTGCACATGAGCAGAGTCGGCGGCAACGCCTCGAAATCTGAGAGCGCGGCTGCTAAAGGCCACAGAACACACGAACATATGCGGGTTGCGCTGCGGGCACTGAAAGCAAACATCGCACACAACAAGCATAGGTGCAACAACGACGATTTCGCTCGAAATACAGATGCCAAAGCTTTACGGCGCACGATAAATACGACCTTCAGAATGCATCGGCTAAAAAATCACATCATTATGTCCAATAAACGCAACATATCACAACAAATAACGGGTAAATCAAAAACAAATACATACATAAGTAAAAAGTAAAGAACCCCATATACACAAAGGCAACAACACAAATTACAATTACAAACACAAAAACATAAAAACAACAAATCAAAATGAGCAAAATCAATCAGAAACACATCAAAACAACGCAAGCAAAAAATCAGACATGGACAAATAGACACAAAGAATCACAACCGAATACAAACAGAGAAAAGCAAACAAAAAGAGAACACACAAACACAAACAAATAGAGATAAGCAAACACTAACCGAGACGGACAACCACAATGTAAGAGAAACCAAGACAAACACAAATAGACGCAGACAAACACGGAAAAGACAAACCCGGACGCGGAAAAAGAAAGACACACGCAAGCGGACAAGCAAATGCAAATGAACGAAGACAAAACAAGCAAACGCAGGCAAATAGAGACAGACGGAGAAACAAAGACAGCCAAAACAGATCAACACAGCCACAGAAACACAAACAAACACAAATCAATAGATGGAGAGATACCAACACCAACAGAAAAGAAACAGACAGGGACAGACAGAGAGTGACGGAGGCAGAGAGATATAGACAAACATTGACAGACATTGCCAATGACAGACAAGCACAAAGACAAACAGAGAGACAGGCAGACAGAGACAGACAGAGAAACTTGGTGTCAAGCTGGTGTGACAACGAAGCAAATTTGCTGGACGCAAGCGCCACATGCCCGGCACAAAATGTTCCAGACATTTCGACACGGACAGGTCCCCTAATTTCACAGACATTTGGCCCGTGTTTTTGTTGTTGCGGAAAGCCGCGCAATGATGAAGACACTTGCGGCTCGAACTTCTGGAGATCTGAGAGCCGGGCCTCCGGAAGCGATCGAAAATTCGGAAATATTTGGTCCGGTTGCGCCGCGGGAGCTTTAAACGAAGATCTCAAGAACTGGCGGAGATTTTGGGGACTTCCGCGCCGACCAAAGAGGCAGGAGCTTTTGCCGCAGAGAAAACACCGGGACAAGCATAGTTGCCGCAAGCGCGGCGATTCGGCCGGAGTAACATACACGAAGTTGTTTCTTTTCAATATTCTGCTTATATATATATATGATACGTACATATATATATATATATATATAGAGAGAGAGAGAACAACAACAGCCACCCACTGGGGTTGACGGATCAGCGGCGAGCCGAACAACAAGCGCAGGGCAAGCTGGCGGCGGCAAACACGGCGCTGACCAAGGCGAAGAAGGCTGGCTCGAGGGGCTTTGCCCGACGTGGATGACTCTCTTGGGTTGGGTGGGGGGGGCGGGTTGTGGGGTGCACCTGAGACGCTCTTGAACATTTGTGGAAACAGATCCACCAAGACCGGGACAAAAGGTCTTGGGCAGGATCTTTGGGCAGATTTAGACTCCGGGTTTCGGAAAACCTTGACCCCCTATACTATGTTGTGGTTCGATGTATGAGGGTTTTTATGGTATTTATCATCTTTATGCTCTAAATTGTCCACAAAGGGTTCGAAGAGCAGGTAAAGGTGAACCGCGTCTGGCTGTGCTCCAGATTTCGAAAGCGCACACTGAATTCCGGTTGGAACTTCGACTCAACATTTAAAGCTCTTGACCCGTGTTTGGGATCGCAAGCGTGCCCTCCAAGTGGCACATATGGTCGGTGTCGATTGTTACCTTCATTCCTCCTTGAAGATAGGACAGATACCACAGATCAGACTCCCAGGGCCTGGATGGGATTTCTGAGGGCTGAATTTGGTTTTGTCTCCACACATAGGAAGCCCAAATGGTCGGTGTTTTTTGGGTTCGCCGCAAAAAGTCCGCGCCGCAAGGAAAAAACAACACGAAGTGGCGAAAGCACCGACCTCGGGATGATGTTGATGATGTTAAAGGGAAGACTAAAAGGATGCCAGCTGTTCTTGTTCGAAAAGCCCTGCCGGGCCGGTACGCCATACGCGCCAGATCGTGTCTACCCGGGAGGGCGCCTTTGTGGCGAAGGAGCTCATGGCCGAGGCCGGCGGAAACCCAGGGCTTCGATGTTTCCGAATGGAAACCGGTAAGGAAAGCCAAAGGGGAACCCATAGAGACCCCCACCCTCACAGAAATCGCGCCCTTTCGTTCCCGTTGCCCGTTCGCGAGGTGGAGCAGATGATGTCTTCCCTGGACACTGAGGCACTTTTTGAACTTCGACCGTCGATCATTTTTCCAGGGAAGTCGGCGGTTTTTTAGCAGGGCTTTGCTTCCGTTGATTATATGTTGGAGGCAAGCTGAACGCCAGATGCGTTTGCAGTGCTGCCCCCCTGCCAAAGTTCACCCTTTCGAATCAACAAAACCAGCAAGCTGCCCGCTGCGTGGAGAGAGCTTCAGAGAGGTGTCCCTTCTCAAGTCATAGAAACCTTGCGATAAAATGAGCGGACGCATGACTTAGAGCCCTTGTGGATTCCTTGTTGACGTGTCCTTACTGAATTCACAGATTGAATCAACAAAACGAGATGGAAGCCGACAACAGTTTCTACGTGGTAAGCAGGGAGTTCACCACGGAAACTCATGTTTGGTAATCTGCCTTTCCGGGATGTTTGGTCATCTGCCATTGTTATCATAACATGCGGTGACATGAAAGCCCAACTGTTTGTTTGCGGGTTGCCTCGTGGCTATGGCGACCCGTTACGACCCGTTTGGTGGGACGCTGTTCGCTAGGTGAAGGCGGTGGAGACGGCCTGCGCGCCGCTGCTGGAGGGCGGCGAGGAGTTCCTGGCCGGCGGGCAGAAATTGGCATGGGTATCCCATGGGTTGCACCCGTACAGACACCCAATGGAGCCTTTGGTAAGGGTGGTCTCTTGGGAGGAAGCCAAAATGAGACGTGAGATGAATCGGGACCGGTGAATGGGCGCCAAGAATCAATAATTTCCCCTGGTTGATTGCTGGCGTGCAACCGTGGTTTTTGGGATTCCCAAGTTCAGAAAATCTGCCACTTGCCTCGGGTCCTGAAGCCTTTCTTTCCCTCATAGAAAGCACCCACACCAAAAAGAGTTGTCCCATTTTCTGCTTGCCACCTTTTTCCTGCAGCCAACAAAGGCGCACATGTGTTTCCTGTTCAATATAAAGCGACCGAAGGGCACCCCAGCTCGGCTGCTGAGGTCGCGGCGAGCCTGAAGACGCTGGCGGCGGCCTGGCGCGCCCACATGACCGAGAAGAGCTCGGGGCCCTGGATCTTTGCAGATGGAAGCGGTTGGTGGGCTTTGCCCCATTTCTGCCGGAAAAATCGTTCTTCCTTCCAGTTTCCCGGGTAGCAAGCTGACTTTTGTTGTTTTGTTTTTTCGCCAGCCTCAACCTCATTCCTCGTTTCGAGAATCATGGGTGGCGCAGAAGCAAAGGACGAGAGTTCAGGCCATGTTCTTGCATCCGCAAAAAGGGCGGATCATTATTTCTGAGGTAGAATGGCAGTTGTCCTGGCCAGCGACATGGATCTGCGCAAATTTTGTCGACCCCGAAAAGCGGAGTGGCGACTTTCAGACTAAGACTTATCATCATTCACCCAAAACCACATTTTTGATAAGTATATTTGAGTGTGTCTAAAACTGGGGAGCTGCCCTTACGATTTTCCTCAATCTTCCCTAAAGAGAGAGAACCCCCTAAAACAGCAGCCCCTCAATGGGTAGTGCTTTGGTTTCCTTCAATCCGCGGAAATGGAAGCGGGTCCAGGTCTGGACATCGACGGTCTCTTCAAGGCGATCGGTGGCGGCAACGCAGTGCCAGAAGCGGCCGGGGCCTCCAGAGAGTTACGCCCGTGCCGTTCTTGGCAGGTTGTGTACTTGTTTGCCTTCTTGCTTGCAGTTCTTGAATAGATCCGTACGGGATTCCAGTGGGAATTCGCACATTTTCTGTCTTGGTTGAGATATAGATCTATGGACGCCGTCCAGCAAACGTTAAAGGGTGGGGGCGTGGGCAGGGATAACTATTGGAGATTCAACTTTTTAGCCCAGCCCCTTGAAAGCTAGCACATCTCGACGTGGTTTTGTTCAAAAATGCAAAAGCCCCCAAACGGGCAGTTTCCTTGTTGCTTCCCTTAAGAACAACCCCAAAAAGGGAATCTTCAAGAAAGCCATACCCATTTGTGTCTGGTCGACCGGTTGCCCGGTTGCAACCGGTGGGCTCAAGCCATCCGAGCGTTTCCAGGACTTCCTCGCCTACCTGGAGAAGCTGCCCGAGGCACGAGCGGCTCCATTCGTTCCCATATCACCTTTTTTCCCATATCACCTTTTTGGTGGCAACTTCCGAGTCGGTTGGCCAACAAAAGTCCAGCCTTCTATTGAGACAGTTACAAGGGCACATCAAAGCGTGTCTGATAGGATTTTCTAGTTTGATGGTAAGCCACAAAGCAACTTCTATTGTTCCTCTTTGTAGCTGCCCCTCTAATTCCCCAACCGGCCAGGCATTGTTCTAGAGGGCTTTGAGCGAGCCCCGATGTTAGACTGCTCTGTCACGATCTCCTCCTTGTCCAGTAGCACCTCATTTCTCCTCGTTCTTTTTTCTTTTGGTTTGGCTGGTTTTGGAACTTTACAAGCGGCCACAGTCGTGTCACGTCAGAGGATGCAGACTAAGACGCGAGTCTGTGCGAGGCCATCGACCACCCAGAGGTGGAGTTTAGCGAGGAGATCGGCGAGAGGGTCTCACTTGAATGGGCTTGTTTCAAAATGGCGATTTTGAACCCCCTTTCGAAAGAGTGTGAAAAAGGGGAAACCAAGAAGGATACGAGCCACATTTGTTTCAAGCAGTTCTTTCGGCCAGCTTTGGCAGCCGTATGAAGTGTGTACGCGAAAGGTTCTGGGCAAAACAGGAATTCGTGAGTTACGTTTGAGCCGTGCAGAACAGGAGCCTCAGACTTGGGGCCCTTGGGAAAGTCCCTGTGTGGATACATGAGAGAGGGACACATACTGACGATGAATCTTAAACCACTAGAACGAATTTGGAAAACAACACCTTCTAGTTTTAGGCGTGGTTTGACAAGCGCTTTTTGGTCGTTGCTAGATAAATCTTTGTCGTCGGTTGAATTGGTACTTTTTGTCGTCGGTTCGGACCCTTCTCGGATACATGGATACACCAGTGGGTACTTAGAGAAGTATGTCTGCTTCCGCTTTGCAGCGAGCTTGGTGAGCATCTCCTCACTGGGCTTTAGGCTCAAACCTCAGTACCGTCCTCCCGTTTTTGGCCATGTCTGGGGAGGGCAAGGGCAAAGGATGGGGCAAGCGGCGGGACGACGCAGGCCGGGAGAATGGCAGGGACGGGCCAATGGTTGAGACTTAAGGGACCCTTAATGAGTTCTAGCATCACCTGGCGTCACAATCAACAACGCAGGGGGTGGGATTGACCGGACTAAAACATGGTCCACCCTGCGTGCAAGCCGGTATGATGCCAGGACAAAAATGCCCCTACCATATTTATTGAAACATGGGATCATCCATGTTTCAATACAACCCCCTGGATTGAGAACTGGGCGTGGGGTTCATGAATGAAGGTTGAAAATGCTTCTAAGATCACCTCAGCCAGCCGCTAGCTAGGTGTACCCAGATTTTAATGTTGAAAGGACAACTGGTATTGAGCGGGAAGATCGCATGCAAGTAGCACCGTGCAGCGATGCTCAAAGTTGCTGTCTTGTGATGCCGAGATTGGAAGTTATGTTGAATGCATTGATGATATCTGCATCTTACCTCTGCCAGCGCATTGAGACTTTCTCAGGACAGTCCCTTAAGGGAACCATGACGATGAACCGAGCGGCGTTTGCTTGGTGCCAGCCTTGCGTTGCCCCTCGACCCCAAACTTGTGTCAGATTGTATGAGCTACTCAAGTCACTGCGCTCCTGAAGGACATGAAAATTGGGAGAATTATTTATGTGTCTTAACTTTCCTATCTAATCTCCATTTCTTCTTTGTATCGTTGTAACTCTAGATCGGCCAAAACGTATGTGTTGCCCGCGACCGCCCGGAAGCGGGTCCCCGAGACCTCCAAAAAGCGTGGCAAGCGCAGCAAAACGCACTTCCGAGCCCCCCAAGCCCCACCCCCAGCTCCATGCTCCATACCCCCTTCATGGAGCGCGGCGACTTTTCCTGGTTATATACTGCTATCATCAACACAAACCTAAACCTAGGGTTAAACCAGACAACCAAGCCGACCTAAACCCTCAAAACCCTAAACCTAAACCCTTAAAACCGCAAACCTAAACCCTAAAAGCCCTAAACCTAAGCCCTAAAAACCCTGAAAACCCTGAACACCCTAAACTAAACCCTAAAACCCCTAAACCTAAACCCAGAACCTAAACCCTCAAAACCTTAAACCTAAACCCTAAACCCCGAAACCTAAACCCTAAAAACCTTAAACCTAAACCCTAGAAACCCTAAACCTAAACCCTAAGCACCCTAAACCTGCCAGTACGATCATACAGCATAATAAGACCTTGTGGGCGACACGTATGTTTTGTGGGTAACTCTAGATCTGGAGGGTTACCTTCTCTCTCGTATCTTTTTTTTTGTTTGCTTATTTCCTATCATTCCGTTGCTTGACCCATTAATCTGAGGAACTGGGAGAGGGGCGAACGTAATGAGTGCTGGCCAAGGGGCGCATTGGCCAGACAAGTGATTGGGTGAGGGATGTAAAGAGATACTGTAGATCATGAAGAGATCTTCCATGCGGAAAAGAGAGACACATGATGATAAAGGAAAAGAGACATCATTGTAATTTTAAGACAATAAGATATAGAGAGAACGTTCCCTGATTTGGCCTACTGGTATTTGGGTGAGTGTGCCCAACCCCTTTTCAGCAGTAGATGATGCTAGTAGTTCACGATATCACTCACTGGTGGCAGAACACAACAAGAAACTTGTGATGTGTTTTCTAACACTCCAACGAGTCTGCTGCTCCTTCTTGATTGTCACGGTGCAAGAGCCTTCCTGGTAAATCAATCCATGCTATATAACCCATGTTTCCTTATTAATCCATATCATTCCATATCTTTCCACAACTCCCATGAAATGTGTGTCCATGGCCTTCCAATCAGCAGGCGCGGAGGAGCGAATCCACCAGTACAGGCACTCCCTCGAGAGCGGCTACAGCAAAGGGGCCCAGTTGCCGTCGATGCGTTGCTTGCGAACTGGGTGGCTTGTCTCCTTTTTTGGAAGCCCCCTTTTGGCTTGCAAACAAACCAAACGACACACCAAATGGGAACGGGGGGTGGGTTCTATTGGTTTTCCTCTATTTGTCTTGTTTTGGATGGTGGAAGCCACCCATTTTGATATGGGTGGCTTCCGAATATTGAGGCAAACCCAAATGGACATTCATACCAAAATTGGGGGGGGGGGAATTTTTAGAAATGGTATCAAGCAACACAAAACCAACAATTCGGTTAGACCACTGTTTTTTTTGAGGGTACACCCTTTGATTGAATGGCTGGTTGAAGGGATGCCCAAAGGACAGCCTCCATGTTTGGGTTCCCCAAAGACTGCTGAAATGAACCACAGACTAGATCGGTCAGGGATCCTTGTACTCCCTTTTGGGTGGATCAAAAGTCGCAGTTCCATGGGCACTTGAAGGGTCTCCAACTTCAACGCCTGAAGGAACACCTCAATGAGGACGTCTGAATACTGGTTTCAACAGTGGTTTCCTGCTGCCCCAAAGGGGCAGGGTCACATGGTCTGAAAGCATGGAGACAGCACCCAAGGCAGGCAAGTGTGTACCCCTGAGTGCTCGTGGGAATCTCCGAAAGTGTTGCAAACACAAACCAAATGTGAACCCTCCGTCAGCGCCCATGTAACAATCCTTTTTGTTCCCTCCATTTTGCATCCGTTTGGCTTCCTTCCCTTATTTTTCGTTGGTTTCCCATTGATTTCCTTCACGTACTCCCCAACCGCCTGAAAGTTTCTCTTTTAATTGTCACCCGCTCCGAGATGCCGAGCAGAGTGAGGGCGACCTCGCCAGCGCTGGGATGCCTGGAATTGGGGTTGGCCCAATCCTGACAAACAACACGAACTCCACAAACAAAGACATTTTGAGCGCGCTAATCAAATGAGTCGCTGTATGGGACATTTCCTTCAGGTGGCTTTGCATTGACAGTGGTCGAATCATGGGCCAACAGCTGCGCAAAGGCAAAGGAGAGTGGATTGGCGGCGTCGCATGGCTGTAAGTTGTTTCGTTGCACTCGTTCACCCCTCGGAAAATGAAGACCAACAAAAAGCGCGCTGTTTTTCTTGCCCATCGGGCAAGGTTTTTCAGCTCAGAACGGATTATCCCCCTGGCCAACATGATTTGGTTGGGGAAACACAAGTTAGTGGTGGCTTGGAAGTGAACAGATTCATCATCCGCAGTGTGGATTGCAACACAAGCGAAGTTATAACTTATGCAAGTCATGAGGCACTCTCTATAGCCAGGACGGTAGCTACCAGTCGATCACTCCTCTTACTGAAGCATGTTTTTTGTTGACGGGGGGGGGGAACACGTAGGTTCACTGTTTGGGGTCCCATCGTGATTGGATCAAGTAATCAAACATAAGAAACACACTTACTTGTTTTTCGAGGTAGAGTATGTTGTTAATTGGCGGAACATTATCTGACACCTGGGGCATTTGCAAGCATCATTTGCTAGCATGAAAGCCTCTTGCCCAGGGTGGCCCGGAATATCGAAATCCTGCAACCAAGAGCTTGGGCATTGTTTTGCAAGGCATCAATTTCGTCACAGGGTTTTCCTCATTGATCCCACTTTGCAGCGTTGGGAACAAGAAGTTCTTGCACAAACGTTCATCTTGTTCGGTCAGGCATATGTGATGTGAAAGAGGTCTACTGTCTCAGTTGTTCGGTACGGAGGAGGAATTAGTTAGCATGGTTAAAACCTGGTGCCCCATCGTAACAGTTGGCCAGCTCAGGGACTCATGGAGCCAGAATGTTCCACAAGGTCTCAAAAATTGGGCCGAATGCTGGCATCCAAAGGATCTGAACTACTGGGCAAGACAAGCTCGCCCCTGAAAGTCCCTTACTTGAACTTTCGGGTTGTTTGCAAAATCGGTGGGGACCCGAAAATCTGCGTCTGCCTGTTGTTTCCTGTAAGCCCACCCACGCATTCCACAGTGTCCTTCTGTTTTCCTGAGGTTTGGCGTGCTTTCCAGTTGCGGAACCCGTTGGATTGGTGAACCCTGCATTGCTCAGGTGGAGATGGACGCGCTAGTCTTCCTGCAGATCATGAAGCACTGCAGGCCCCTTTGGGGTGGACCTCTCAAGGGTAGGCCTCTGGGTGGTGGCACCCATTAAATTCCGTTTCATTTGGTGGGTTCAGGACCCACAAAAGATGTGAACCCACAAGACTGTGGCAGTCCCCCAAAGGGGTTCCATTTTTCAACCAAACATAGACGCATTTTACCGAGTTTCAGCTTGATTCCAATCTGTCAAGTGGAGCTCGTTTTTTCAGGCAAACCTAGTCAGACGATCCCGGACAGTCTCCTTTTGTTGCTGGTTGCCTAGTCCGAAAGACAGTGAAATCCCCGATTGATACGCAAAGCCTCGCATTACAGCATCAATAAGGTTTTCTTAGTGGCATACTGCCCAAGTATCATCAATCACCAGCTGATATTTGAGGTGGGAAGCACTGCGCTTGTAGCCCAACAACATGGTTCCCAAATT